TTGTATAGTGTCCACCTTTCAGTCAGCCTGGTATTCATCTGTGATTCTGCAAGAATTCGGGAAGCAATTTGACTTGAGTCTTTCTTTTTATTCCCCTCAGATTCGCCTGCCTTTCATCAGTAAAATGAGACCCTGCCCTTGATGGTCAGGAATTTGCAGCTGATTTGGCTGTGGGGATAGGGGAGGGAATAGTCCTTCATTGTTCATAGCTTGAACAAGCCATTATAGCTTTTTTCTTAGTATGCATATGTTGCTATACCTCCCCGAGACTTCCTTGGGGGGAGGCAGGGGAGTAATGGGAGCCTTGGAGTGTGTTTGTGTCCAGAGGATGCTGAGTGAATTTGGATTTCAGTCTACTGTATCTGGTTTCATGCTGCGTGGGATGAATATTTGGAACTACATCCCAGGTTTGGTTTTGCAGTTTTGTTTGTGGGCTGGAGGTGTTTCTTTGGGGAGCATGAGAGGAAAGCTGCATAGTATTCCTCTCTACAACACCTTTAGACTATACTCACTCTCGATAATGTTTTGCAATAGATCCTCAGAGTTAGGGATACCTTGGAGAATGGAGGTTGGGTAGGAAAGTGGTGGGGGCTCCTAGTTCAACTCTGCCGACAATATTAATATATAATAAATACACTGTAAACATAGGTAATGACATGCTGAAGTTCCGTCCAGGGGACCAGATTCTTCAGCCCTGACCTTGGTTTTTATCTGGCATTCAGCCTCAGCTGATGCAGGACAAAAATTGAGGTCAGTGGTAGCAGGGCTGGACAGGGACAGGCTTTCCAGTTGGCCATTATCAGTTTTAGGATCCCACATGGCATTTCCTTTCAGACATCCTTCTACTCAACCTCCAGTGGGTCTAGCTGATTATCCTTGGTGGAGTACAGAATTCAGGCAAAGGGCTGTGAAAAGGGCTTGGGTTCTTTCAGGACAAAAATAACTTTTTCGAAAGAACCCATACTCTTCATTTTTTCAGGAGTGCGGGTTCTTTCAGAAAAGGGGTTTTTTTTTTAAAAGAACCCCATCGAGACTGCGCTTTCACTTTAGAAAAACCCTTTTTCGAAAAACTCTGACTCGAATATGCAAATGAAGCGTGGGATATTTAAATCTGTTTTACATTTGCAATTTCGATATGCTTCATTTACATTCCTCTTTCAAAAGAAGAATGTAGTTTAGACGTGCTCTCAAAGGGATACCACCACTTAGAATACTGTACCTCCAAGGTATTCTGAAGATGAAATTAGTTAATGTCTTCACAATCTTTGAACTTATACATTCAACACAAATGCTAATTGTTATTAATATTTATTATTTAAAGAATGGCTCACATCACAACTTTGGATCTAAACACTCTTCAATTTTGAGCAGGGAAGGTGAGAGATAATTAAGTCATTCCATCATAATATAAGAATTTTATATCGTGGTCCTGTTCTCTGTTGTTCTGATTTATTGTAGTACTTCGCACCAGATAAAATAGGCATATAGAACAAAATGAACAAAGGAAAACTGATGTGGCCATTATCACCTGCATGTTTTTCTGTATGTAATGATTTTGCTAAACTGTCTTCAGACCAGGTACAGCCACTATGCCACCTCTTGAAATGACCATAGAATATCTACAATCTATGGTCATATTTATCCTGATGCTATACTAAAATTTTGATTCCCTACATTTATATTTAATTATCAGTTAATAAATAATTTTAAGCATTGACAATCTGCCATTTTGTTCATCACTAACTGATTAGAATTTTTCTTAGTTATCAAAAATATTTAGTTATCCAAAGTTTTAACTGGCATTTTTTTGGCACAATGTGTTTATTTCAAAAAATCGTTTGTGCCTAATACAATTACAGATTTCATCTTCATAATATCAGGTTGTTTTAAGAGGACTTCTTTAGACCTTGATGTCATTCCAGTGATATCTCTCAGGTTTTTTTCATCAGTAAATGGCACTGAGCTAAGCCAAAACTGGGATATGAATCAGAAGAGTTGGCAAAGCAGACGGAGCTTTTCTTGTGTACAAATCGTACATCAGATTTTGCAATGATAGTGTGAGCAAATTGTGGTAATGTAAATGGTTTAACTTTTAAGTTCTCATTTTCCCTTAAAGTGCCATGAGGGGACTAATCAAACTAATGTTATGTATAGGTCAAAACTGACAGGCTTTTCTTAATGGTTGGTTGCAGTTGACAGTGGATAGTATTTATTAATAGTACCTGCAATAATTTGTCAATTGAATGGAGGGTTTTGAGATTTTCTTAGCAGAAAAGAATAGCTCTTTGCTGGAGAATTTGCTTCAAATAATCACTGTCATAGGTTCAGTGTGCATGAATTTTTCAGTGAAATAATACTGTTTATGTAATAGATTGCCATTGAGTAAAAATGTGGAGGGATACTTTAGAAGCAAAGCAGTATCTCATTTAAAGACCCAGGTGTTTTCTTACTTTATAGCTTTGAAATGTCCAAATGGGGGTAATTTATTAAAACTTTTAAAGCCATTTTAAATAAATGTCTCCTATCTCGGCATTATAGCTCCAGAAGGCCACTTACTATAGGTTTCTTTATAATTCTTTAACTATCCATGTGGGCCCTTATCTCCAGCTCAGCTGGGATTTCTGGCATCATTCATGTTTATATATTTATTTACTTAGAGTACGTTGATGTAGTGGCTTTGATTTAGTGTTTCTTTGCTGTCCTGTATGATCCTAATATAGTATAAAAGTATTTTGTGCTTTTTTTGTCTAGTGATTTTCTTCTAATTGTAGTCATAATATTTTGGTCAATGACTTCATGTCTTCACCAGTTGGTAATAGGAGAATTTATTAGATGGTCTCTGTCTCAAAATGAGGTGCTGATTTACTGACTGGTTTACTTGATTTTATTCCACTTTGAAAGATTTGGCCAATGCAAAAGGTCTCTAGAAGCACGTACAGTTTTTGAAAGTATTAAATAATTAACATTGACCTACGTTTTTAAAAATACTAAAAAAAGCAAAAACAAAAAACAAATAGGCATCCTTACTCAGCTCCCAAATATGATCAAAAGCTGAGAGGATGTAGGCTTTATCCTTTACCCTAAGTGTCTGCTGTCTTGGTGATAGCCAATTCCATCGTTCAAGGCCTTCCAGTGAGACCATCCTGCCTGCAACAAGGAATTCTAAAGATTTTTAGATCATGTGTCTCAAATGTGATAATAGTACACAAAAAGAGGAGGTTACTCAGTCATCCATAACTCAGGCTTCATAGAACTTCATAGACCAATATCAGGCCAAATAGTTACAAATAATACTTAGCCCTTCTATAACACATTTCATCCATCGATTTCAAGGTGCTGAATAAACATGGGAAAACATTATGGGCCTGTATGTTACAGATGTGAATCTGAAGCAGAGAGTTTGGGGCAGGTTTTTTTTCAAAGGTGCCCATTAATTCTAGATATCACAATTTTAAGTGTCCTACCTGAGACATTTAGGATCTGATCTTCAGAGATACTAGGCATCTAAAGCTCCCACTGAATTAGTCATTTTCTCTACTGTTTCTTCAGAATGCTTTTCCTGGCCACTGAGCACCTCTTTCCTTGTCTGGACTGGACATCCAGGTTACTTGCATAGCAGGGAAAGCAAATAAACCATACCCATTTGGGTTTGAGGAAAAAGAAACAGAGCTGTATGTCGTCTGCATACTTACAATAGTACAGACCAACCAAGTTGTTAATACATAGTGAAATTTTATTCCAAAAAAATTAATGCTGTTGACTGTTCCAAGAATAATTTTGCTAAAGCGATGTTTAAAACTGAAATGTGACTATGAATATATAAATATAGCATTCATTACAATACTTTTTTAACTTTTTGCAGTTAGAATTCAAAGGATTTTTTGTAAAGTATAATAAAGCCATTTTTTAACATATAAAGCTGAATGTACTAAGGTTAATGTATTTTTTCATGCCTTTTCAGAATTAGAGATCAGCGGTTTGAGAAGGTTTCATATTTTGTCTTTGGAGATTTCAACTTCCGACTGGATTCCAAATCAGTAGTAGAGGTAGGATTCACTCCTTTCTTCAACTCTGGACGTTATCTAGGGGTTTGCATTTCTAAAATTGTTTCCCTTTGAAGAAAAAAATCAGAAGATAACTTAACAAGGCACTCTTAGGCTACATCTCCACTCCTCTGGTATCCCGAAATAGCTATTCTGTGTCTTTTGAACGTGCCAATTATTTCATAATATAACAGGCTACCAGCGTCTTTGTAAACCTCATTCCATGAGGAGTAAGGGATGTTTCAGAATAGCAATTTATTTTGAAATAAGTGCTGTATAGACAGCGCTAAATTTAGAAATAGGCTATTTTGAAATTAACTCAAAATAAGCTGCGCAAGCTCTGGGTGCAGTGTAGATGTACCCTTAATGTTGTCATCAGACTTGCAAAGGATACTTCTAGGGGTTTTCAACATGAACATCTAACAAGTAACTCGTAATTATTATTGAAAGGAATCTGATTACATAATAAAGTAACATCACTGAGATAGCAAAAGGTACTAAAGATTTTCAGACTCCTAAGAATACAATTATTTTATGATAATCAAACCTCTTGGAACAGCAAAGCTGTATTTTTATGCCATTATTATGAGAAACCCAAGTTGTTTTTTTATCCAGAAAGGCAATGAAGGTTTGTTTCAGAGGCTACGGTGCTAGGATTAGATCATTTCTGTGGATCAAGAGGACTCATTTGCTCCCTGCAGAATGTTCATTTGCCAGCAAGTGATTCTCTTAGTTCAGGGAGCTTTAAATTGGACCTCAGATATGATGAATTTACTATAAACACAATGGGCCAGATCATAGGAGTCCAAGGCCCCACATACAGCTGAAACACTGCATTTCTGTTGTGCGGAGAGGCATACTGTGGAACAGACATGCACAGGGACTGCAGATTCCTATGCACTGCAGATCATTTCTCTAGTTGTTTTCTT